AGCAGTTTCCTAGACAGTCTGTGCTGCATCAGTTAGTCCAGTATTACTGTAGACACCGTTAGCAGAAGATCAGTGAACACACAACAGACTGAGAAGACTTAAGTGTGTGTTCTAGTGAATTGGAAAGTGTGTGACTAAGTGACAAGGTTATAATTACTTGCAATCACACATCTGTAAGAGTTCAGTTAATCCAATTACCAATCCAGGACCCAACAATAGTCACACTCATACACATGATAACTGGTGTCAGAAATGGGATTAGGATTGGATTCGACCGAGTTATTGCATTGAAGACTGCAGGGGTTGGGTGTATTGTCATATTATAAAAATGGAATATATGACACACTATTGAAAGCTATACGAGAAATTATGGAAACACAGAAAGGTTCTCTAGCCTCCCTCCACTACGACAGAGACCATTCAAGAAAGAATAATAGCCAAGATGGATGCTATCAGGAAAGGATGGAAACCAATATGGATGCCTGGATAGAAGAAATGAAGGCTTGGTGATGGCAGCCTACCAAGAAACGGTGGAGGCAAATACAAAAGAAATGAAGTCCATAGCGTACCAACGGGAAGTCCCTAAAGAAGAGACAGCAGTAGAAACCATTCAGCACTGGAGGTCCAATATGGCGACTGGCATCGAGCCATAGGGTGCCACCAACAGCCGAAGAAATGGACCCAGGATAACGGTGGATGCTGGAAGAAGTTGGCCATCACCCGCAGACAGATGATCCACCATGCAGGAATGATGGTGTAAGAGACATGGTCATGAAAGACCAACAGTCGAGAAGAAACAATGGAAAGGTCCAGAATGCAACCACGAAATAAAGAACCAAGGCGCAAGATGGAAACTACATCTGAGGAAGGGAAACAACATCCAGTAGGAACTTCAGGAAGACTGTTGAGCTGGAGATCAAAAAGCAAATGGTTGGATCTTTGATTGGATTACAGGAAGTGATTGAACATTGTGGAGGGGTCGGTCCCCTCTGGAAAAAAAGAAGGGACGTCCAAAGCACAGCCGTCAGAAACAAAGGAATGGCGTTATGCCTGTAGGCTATTTGCCCCTATTTGTGACAAATAGCCTTAAGGAAGGAGAAATGTGGCAGTGGCATGTAGATCTGGTGCTAGGGCAATGACCATGAAATACACAAATATTCAACATCCGTTGTTAAGTAATGGCTCCACGACCATGTCAGCTCACAGATGTCAGTGAGGTTGTCAGCCTTATGCGCCAACCACCCTTTAGCCCCATGAAGATTCCTGATACTCATTTCTATTATAGGCTGAGTCAACCCCAAGGCCACAGTGCAGCTGGAAGGATTAGGTCAATTAAAAATCCAATTACTTCATTGGCAAACAAACCTGTGACCTTCTGGCTTTTAGCATAGTGCCCCAACTAAATATGCGACTGCATGCCCCCCATAACACCAATGCAAACCTCAAATTCTATATGCATTATATGATCTACCAAATTTTCAAAAAGTTATTAAACTTTCCTTCAGAGGTCATTCAATAATAGGAAGAAGATATAAACACTTTCATGTGCCAAGGTTGGAAATGATAGTTAATACTGAAGCATTCCAAGCGTTTAAGCTACGAAGAATTAATAGCTCATCATTAACATGAAGATGTTGTTAAAAGCAGTGATAAGCAGACATACAAAAGTGTGTATTGGTTTCTGTTCACACAACAGCGGAGAAAGGAAACTGTACATGAGTTTCTGTTCAGATGTAAGTAGGACTTCTTAATTTCACATCCACAAACTTCAACTTCAGACTACACCTCCTACAAGTCAGATGGTGCTAAATAAGATTACATAAAAGAAAATATGGCTATCAGATACAATATACACAATGGTACTTACAGAAAGAAACCCTCTTCATTGCATTATGATCTACTGAACACATTCTGCTAGTGCTTGCCACCATTAGGAGCTCTGCATATCATCCCGCAACTATTACTTTGCAGAGCACACATCAGTGTAATGTAAGTGTGTGGGCACATGAATTTGATAAGCAGTTAGAATAGATTTTAAGTACTGTTTCTGGTACTGTTATGTGCTTATTAAACATGTAAAAGTCCAAAATAACCACTCTCTACACATGAACATATCAGTGTTCTTCTTTGGTGTAAATGAGAATGACTTACATTTATGATACACTCAAGCAATACAACAGTATTCCCAGTCTCTCATGAACTGTATAAAATCTTATGCAATAATTCATAATGAGCATAAAAAATAGCTGCATTCAGTGTTCCATTTAAAACACCATATTTTTGTAAATTTTTGGTCAATAAGTAAAATACTCTCATGCTTCACCCTTTGTCTAGTTCAATACATGGTATCAATTAAAAATCTCAATCACACCTCAGCTCTATTAATCTACACTATCAGAATTTGTAAAAATGAAAATATGTACCGTGCAGTACTGAATCGATTACACAGACAGGTCTCTTGAAAATGTACAGAATAAGTCCATAATTTAAACCTTCAAAATATATAATCATTTGTTAACTATAGATCCCACGGTAGAAAAATCAGAATTTCAATTCCTGTGATATAGGGGCGGAATACCAGTTCTAACAGAAATTTACTTAGGGAAATTACGGGAAAATCACATAAATTCAGCTCTACAATTAAGAATGAGCAGAAAGGGAAATTCAATTCAAATTTCCCAACTGTGTAGAGCTGCAGCATAAATAATTAAGGTCGCAAAGATGTTACCTTTCATACTGGACTCAAATATTCAAGATAAATTGTACTGAATGCGCGCAAAAAGACCCTAACCTTATTCTTTGAACGCTGCCGTCCTCTGTCCAAGGCACAATTCCCGATCTCGAGCTCAGACTTAGCGTCAATATTTAGGTCTCCTAACATAAATTCTGAATTAACACTATATAATTCAATATCATTTATACTGTCAATAATGATACTCTATATTAAACCACGCAATGAACACCACTAACAACATTCAAACTTCTACCCATGATGCCTATGTACACCTGGGGTTTGAACTAGAACATGCTACCAACTACGGATTGTCACCAACATACGTGTATGAAAATTCCCAGCTCCGTGGAACCAATGTATGCTCAACGATAATCTGTCGGCATGAACACTATTAGAGTTACACACGCTTTCTCCCGGGATTCACGAATTCGGTGCTATTGGGCGCATCCAGATATTTTAAGACGAAATGGAAAGCTTATTCTAATGCTATTAAGAAAGACATTCATTCAAGCGGCATGTACACTTCATTGCAGGAAGTGTTTAATGATTACTACTTAACACATGGTATTTCTGTCTAAAATTACTTATTTACTTACTTACTCATGGAGCTGAGCCCTTCTGGAGGAGTCGCCAATTCTGCAGCTACCCAAGAATTTCCAAGCATTTTATGGTACCCCAAGGTTCATTCACGTGTTCACAAGAGCCCTCCACTGGTCCCTATCCTGAGCCAGATCTATACAATTCATACCATCCCATCCTATCTCTCTAAGATCCACTCTAATATTGTCCACCATCCTACGCCTTGGTCTTCCCTGTGCTCTCTTTCCTTCTGGCTTTCCCACCAATATCCTATACACATTCCTCGTCTCCCCCATTCATGCTACATGACCTGCCCACCTCATCCTCCTTCACTTGATCATTCTAATTATACTTGGAGAAGAGTACAAGTTATGAAGCTCCTCATTATGCAGTTTTCTCCAACCTCCTGTCACTTCGTCTCTCTTCGGTCCAAATATTCTCCTCTACACCCTGTTCTCAAACACCCTCAGTCTATGTTCCTCCCTTAATGTCAGAGACCAATTTTCACACCCATACACAACCACAGGCAAAATTATAGTTTTGTATATTCTAATTTTTATGTTTTTGGACAACAGACAAGAAGACAAAATTTCTGGACTGAATGGTAGCAAGCATTACCCAAGTTCAATCGCCTCTAATTTCCTCCTGAATCAGGTTTCGATCTTTTATCATTGTTCCCAAATATCTGAACTGTGCCACATTTTCAAAACATCTGTTTCCTATATTTATGTCATGATTTTGCCCTGCATTTTGGTGATGAGACGGTAACATATACTTAGTTTTCTCTGTGTTTACTTCTAGACCAACATCTTTACTTGCGTCAATTAAAGTTATTTCTATCTAAGATGATGGAAATATTTTAAAGAACTTGTTTCAGAAATAGTGACCTCAAAAATATGCTTTTTGTCCTGTAAAATGAGTATTTCCTTCATATTTTTGTTACTGTGAACAGAATCAATATATTTACTTCTTGATGCAAATGTAAACCTGGAGATGCAGATGAAGGTTGATTCTTGAGCATTCTATGGAGATTAATAAGCAGAAATACTTAGACCTCAGAGTGAAATATGCATAATTCACCTATCGAAATTAGTTCTTGAGAGTAAAGTTTTGTGTCAGTCCAAATTAGGATAGTCATTGACTAATTTGTTCCAATTAGGTCCTTTGGAATTAATTACATTCAGCCTATAATCAGTTAATTTCTATTTCACAGTTATTGATGTTTGTTCATTAAGAGCAACAATTTTTTCCAGTTTCTTTGGAGTACTCAACATTTTCACACTCACAAAAACAAAAATAATCCCTGGGTTCAAAATCTACACACACTTGTGGAAGACATGAGCTGTCAACTGATGAAGCAGCAACCTTATCCATCAGAACAGGTTCCTATTAGTCAAGATCATGCTTTCACAGAAACCTGTGGTAAACAACCCAATTTTGACTATCTACAACCAAAAGAATTTGATTTTTACCCAAACAAGCGCTTAATTTGCACATTTCTTTTGATTTTTACCCAAACAAGCGCTTAATTTGCACATTTCTCTATATCTATTTTCTACTACTGGAAGGCAACACACACACACACACACACTATCTGGATCAAGCCTTTATTTGCATTCCAATATATTGCTACATATTATTTCTTTGGCCTTCATAATAAAGTTCTGAAATCTGGATTGTCATATATATATATATATACACAACACTTCTATATGTTACATGAAAACAGGAGAGAAAAACTCCACAACTGTTGCTCCATGTTATCACACTTCGGTGCTATTTGCGAAGAGGCTGCTAATGGCACTACTGTAGCACCTGGAGTAGGCAGTGACATTACTGCTGACATCTCACCTGCAAAGAACACATCTCATTAGCCTGTTCTGAAGGCAGAGAGAGCATTAAAGTATTACGCGGCTGAACGTAATAAATACATGTATGTCATGGAGCGAAGTTATGATTCCACAGAGTAAATGGTAAAGTTGTTCTGTACTTAATTAAGCACCATGCCATGAAGATGTCTGGAGAAGCTCCACCATTCTTAACCTCTGTACTTGATAGATGTGAGTGGTCACCTTCATGCCCCAGTCACTTCAACTCCAGTACCCATTAGATGGATGGTTGGAAGGGCCCCAGAGCCGGTGTGGATGCTCTGGAGTAGAGATTAATCTCCTGCTAGTAATCAAACTCCAGCCATCCAGCCTGAAGCCTGTCACTATACCCACTGAGCTACCCTGGCTCCCTATCATGTACAGTGAAGTCCATTTTAATTCCAAATATTATGTCCGGGAAGTATGGTGGATGGTACAGCACTTCCCAGCCTCATCGATCGAACAGATCAGCCACAGCTTGTGCCGCATGCGGCCGAGCATTGTCCTGCAAAATGATGGGTGGGTTCTGCAGAAAGCGTCGCCGCTTCTTTCTCAAAGCTGGTCGCACGTTGTGTTCCAAAAATTAACAGTAATACTGCACATTGACGGTCTGCTGTCGGGGATCACTCTCCAGTAATGCGGAAAGAGCAAACACCACTTCTTCACAGACACTAGGATGACCTGGCCGACACATGTCTGCAACATTTTGGCGTCCCTCATTGTAGGCTTTTGCCCACATTGCCACTGCTCTGTAAGGCAATGCAGATTCCCCGCAAGCCTCTTGAAGACCTTGATGACATTGTCGTGCTGTATGGCCTCTGGCACATTCAATCTTTATCCAACTCCGTTGTTCCTGCTTCGAAAACATCGTGACAACACTACATTAGACCGCCAGCTAACACGAGGCTCTGTTCTTCTCGTCACTGCGCATGCGCGTGATGTGGGAAGGGGAGTCCATTTGCTCTGAGGTGAGGTAGGTATGTAACTAACGTGTGGTATTAGCGACATTATTTGGTTCCGTTGCATGGCGTCTCTACAGCAGTATTGCCACTATTAAAGTTCCAACTCTCGTAGGTTACCAGGTAACACGCCACAATATATATTCCCCCACGATCTCTCATGGATTCCCTAGCGACCTTTCGCGGAGCCCTAGGGTTACGGGGAACCCTAGTTGAGATTGAATGCTCTGCCTAATCAGTCGACTTTCCGTTAAACAATATGAGAATAGAATTTATATCGGCAAGGAACAAACACTGTGGCATCTAAAACTGCCTCAAAAACAATTTCTTGCTACATGAGGTATCAATTGCTTTCCCACAAATTATTATATAAGCTGGCTACTGACAAAAACTGAGTTCAGTTTTATCACTGGTTTAGTTCGTAGTCTGTCCAGGACCATTTGCTAGCCGAGTTTAGCTGAGAAAGCATAGTTTCCGCCTGAATGAGAAAAGGGATTTGTATTAGAGACGAAAGTAAAAACACCATGGCCAATGGTCTATGTCAGGCATGTCCAACTTCAAACAGGTTGTGATTGACATATTAGCGTCAAAACTGCCAGTGATCTACCACCCCTTCCTATCGTTGTACCTCGCTTTAAGCAAAAATATTGGTAAAAATAACACGATACTTGATGTTTGTTGTAAAAGCAACATATATTGAAAGTACAGACTACTTTAATACGTATTTCCCCTTCAAAATCTGAATATAATCATATTATATTACAAGTGAATTCACATGCTTTTCACGTATAATTTCCTTATAGGCCTATGAGATCGATCAAAAAACGTTCCGCGATCGACGCGTTGGACATGCCTGGTCTATGTAAATTTGCATCTGGATTGTGCTTTTCTAGTCATGCTATCCTCCAAGGAGTAGAACACGAGGCAAGTGGTGGGTAACACTGGTCATCTTGACCTTTCAACTGTTCATGAGCTAACTGGGCATCTCTTCATAAACAGGGCAAGGTGAGACATAGTCTCTTAATACTGAGACTGTCAATAGTCCATTATAACGGGCAGATGTTAGATAAGGAAAATTGTATATTTCAGCATACCACTGTATTGAGGCATCATCCTATTTTGTATTAATGTATAAAAGTAAAAAGTAAAGCTATCCCTGTAACACGCCGTGAAGGCCCATAGGGTTGTGAGACGTTGAGGGTCCCACATTATCTAGATAATCGGCTCAAAGATGGCGGTAAGGTTGTCAGCCCTACGCGCCGGCCGCCCATTTTTTCCCCCCTTGGCACTACAGCCCCAGTGGGCCCAGGCCTACCTCCACGAACTTCTCCGTTCACTTCGGTTTTTCTAGATCTTACACATGCGGTAGGACTCCTTGGGCGGGTGATCAGCTCGTCGCAAGACCTCTACCTGTACACAAATACAGAAAAACGCACGCACACAAACTAAACATCCATGCCCTGGGTGGGATTTGAACCCACGATTCCGGCTTCCGAGCGAGCGAAGACAGTGCATGTCTTAGACCGCTCGGCTACCGTGACCGGCCGGCCGCCAATTACTCCCCAGGAAAACTATTTAATTAATTCCTGGTACTCATTTCTGTTAGAGGCTGAGTCAACCCCAGGGCCATAGTGCGGCCGGAAGGATTAGGACAATTGAAAAAAATCCAATGACCTCATCAGGACTTGAACTCGCGACCTTCCGACTTGTAGCATAGTGCCTCAACCAACTACGCTACCGCGTGCCCCCATTTTTTAGTAATGTATCCGTAAAGAATACAACTTTAAAAAGACATTAGGAATATAATATTATATTTAAGCATCCTGTTGCACTCTACACGATAAATGATACAAACTCCGTCCTAAGTGCAAACAATATACATTTATATGTCTTTGATCTTGTTCTTTCTACACTACATGTTTCGGCCTCTATCGGCCATCATCAGGTGTATACTCTTAACGTTGCTGCCACACTGAACCCAGTCTAAAACTTAACATTTAAAAACACAATGTCACGTTCTTCGTATTATCAACATCTACATCGTTGATATGTGTCTGGTATGTAGATTATGTTGCACACGTCAAACCCGATATTCTTGTAGTAGCACTCTAAAAATCTTTAGTTATTATGTTTTTAAAATCTTTTAAAATTTTCTCTAAATTTTAAATTTAAAATTTAAAATTCTTAGGGTTACTCGCCCTATGTCTAAGTGCTGGAGCGGCTAGTTCTTGTTTTCACACTGTACAGGTGTTATCTGTAATATACAAATATTCGTATTATTATTTTATGTACGTAATATTTTCTGTACGTAATATTTTCTTATGTGTGTATATTGTTATTTGTACTTACTTAATGTAGTCTTCTTGTGTGAACGCCGCTGCTTGTCTGTACTACGTGTGTTGTCTGCTGTATTGTGTGCTGTGTTTTATGCTAGTGAGTGTAGGGGGGAATGGGTAGTGGGGAGAGAGAGGTACCGTTAGTCTGTGTAGATTTCGTGTATCGTTTGAAATATGGGATTGTGTGTTTCTATGTGTGTATCATTCATGTGTAAGCCTTTCTTACTTATTTTATATATATGGTATTTCTCTAATGTATTTAAATGTCTGCCCTTCTTTCCCGTTGTTACAACTTCCATTACATCTGTTATTGTTCCGTATGCATGTCCTGTATTTAGTATGTGATTTGAGTACCCGGAATTGCTATCATTATTTCTAATATCATGTATATGTTCTTTATATCTAGTGCTAAATGTTCTGCCTGTTTGCCCAATGTATTTCAATGGGCAATCTACACATTTCATTTGGTATATGCCACTTGTATTGTATTTATANCCAAGGCCCACCCGCGTGTACTGTACGAGATGAAGAAAATCGGCATAATTTTCAGACGACCCCTGCCTGTGCTGTTGGCACACCTGGGCTCCATATGTTAGCCGTGCTTTAGCTCAGGCGGTTAGTCCCCGGCGTCTCATCCAGACGGCGCACATTCGGTCCCATTTCACTTCATGAGAGATTTGTGGGGCTGGGGAAGATTTTACAAAGTATTTTCATATTCCTTACCAATTAAAATTCCATCAAATACTATTTCCCTTTTTTTTTTCACCAACGTATCTGTAAATAGCACAAATTTAAAAAGACGTTAGGAATATGTAGTTCGTTAAAAATGCATTTCAGTGCTATGACATTTCAAATTAGTAAAATGCTCGTAGGCCTTTACGTAGTACATAAATTTACACATTAAAAGTGAATGTTCACACTCCTCAAATTGTCTTAGTTTCACATGTATTTTTAACTAATTTACGTATATTCACAACTTGTTTCGGCCTGATTGGGCCATCATCAGGTGAATTCTCTCCTCGAGTGAGACCACTGCACTGTATTTGTGTCCCGTGCTTCTCTCGTGCACGTTATTTTACTTCATGCTAGTTGTTAAATTTCATTTTTATCCAGCTGTTTTGCGGCTGTTATCAGTTTGTTGTCGTGATTACGTTCAGTACATTGGTAAAGCACAATGGGGACACTGACATAAGGAAACAGGACAACAAACTGATAACAGCCGCAAAATAGCTGGATAAAAATGAAATTTAACAACTAGCATGAAGTAAAATAACGTGCACGAGAGAAGCACGGGACACAAATACAGTGCAGTGGTCTCACTCGAGGAGAGAATTCACCTGATGATGGCCCAATCAGGCCGAAACAAGTTGTGAATATACGTAAATTAGTTAAAAATACATGTGAAACTAAGACAATTTGAGGAGTGTGAACATTCACTTTTAATGTGTAAATTTATGTACTACGTAAAGGCCTACGAGCATTTTACTAATTTGAAATGTCATAGCACTGAAATGCATTTTTAACGAACTACATATTCCTAACGTCTTTTTAATTTGTGCTATTTACAGATACGTTGGTGAAAAAAAAAAGGGAAATAGTATTTGATGGAATTTTAATTGGTAAGGAATATGAAAATACTTTGTAAAATCTTCCCCAGCCCCACAAATCTCTCATGAAGTGAAATGGGACCGAATGTGCGCCGTCTGGATGAGACGCCGGGGACTAACCGCCTGAGCTAAAGCACGGCTAACATATGGAGCCCAGGTGTGCCAACAGCACAGGCAGGGGTCGTCTGAAAATTATGCCGATTTTCTTCATCTCGTACAGTACACGCGGGTGGGCCTTGGAAATTGCCTTTGCTTCTCTTCATTAAGAATATAAAGTAAGTGACTGTAAGATACAGATGCGCCGGTCACGGTAGCCGAGCGGTCTAAGGCATGTACTGTCTTCGCTCGCTCGGAAGCCGGGATCGTGGGTTCGAATCCCACTCAAGGCATGGATGTTTAGTGTTTGTATATGTGCGTTCTTCTGTGTTTGTGTACAGGCAGAGGCCTTGGGACGAGCTGATCACCCGCCCAAGGAGTCCTACCGAATGTGTAAGATCTAGTAAACCAAAGCGAAACGGAGAGTTTCATGGAGGTAGGCCTAGGCCCAAATTGGGGCTGTAGCGCCACAGGAAAGAAAAAAGATATAGATGCGCCGGTCACGATAGCCGAGCGGTCTAAGGCATGTACTGTCTTCGCTCGCTCGGAAGCCGGGATCGTGGGTTCGAATCCCACTCAGGGCATGGATGTTTAGTTTGTGTGCGTGCGTTTTTCTGTGTTTATCTACAGGTAGAGGCCTTGCGACGAGCTGATCACCCGTCCAAGGAGTCCTACCGAATGTGTAAGATCCAGAAAAACCGAAGTGAACGGAGAAGTTCATGGAGGTAGGCCTAGGCCCACTGGGGCTGTAGTGCCAAGGGAGGGGGGGGGGAATATAGATGCGGATTCTTCCTGTCATTTTGCATTCTTCAGGCTGATGCTCATTACATCGAACGAATCCGATATTTTGAAGTGCCAAAAATGTTCTCCTTTTCACTTTAGTCAGCCAGTGATTTCACCATTCCTTTTTGCAATGTGCTTACGCATCGAAGCCAGCAGTGACGCTTGGAAGAGCCACTCCTTCGGACCGTTTTCCAACAGCTCTGTGATAGGATGTTATCAGCACACACACAGACTCAGGGATTTACAGAACTGGCATTATGTTGCAGCGACACACAGACCAATGGGATGAGATTTAAATATGTTATTGCGACAAACAGGATATAAAGAGAAATCAGTTAAACGAAATAGGACTCTATTCGGTGTGCTACGGCGAAGCACAATCTTTTTAAACAAGTTTTAGTATTAGAATAAGACACTTCACCCTCCGAAAATATTCGTCACATAACTAATACGTGAAGGGAATGCTTATCTTATCGAGCTGTTGTCCCATAGAAAGTAAACTGTACGTTTTATTGTAAGGATAAGCAGTAACGTGATTCTCTGAATCCTCTCGATTCACGCGGACAGTCCCGCATAGGACCACGTATTTATTGCTGAGCAGAATTTGCCTTTTGATCAGAAGACTGGTTTTAGTTAAAGAAGAAGAGGAAATGATGTCTGTCAGAAGAGTGTTGTGTGTGTTGGTTATTATTGCCTGCTACAGAAATATTTCAGCAGTTGGTAAGTTATATTGGGCACGTTCCAAAAATTAGACTAATATTTTAGAGACATCTAAGCCGGGGGTTCCTTAAATTTTGATCAGTGACGGTCCATCAGATGGCCCGTAGAATTATACAGTCCATATAGTACTGTATGAAGCGTAATAAATAAAATAATTTGCATTAAAACGTTATGAATATTTTGGGACTTGTTCTCACAGCGGTGGTTATTACAAGCTATATCTCCTGGGATATAACTCTGTGTAGTCTGGTGGAAGTCAACCGACATTTCGGGGGAACACGTCTCCGTTTTCGAGGTTCAAGAATAAGCCAAGCAAGAAATCAGCGTGGAAACAGGTGGCGCGAAGTTGGAGGAGACATGTTCCTCCGCAACGTCGATTAACTTTCAACGGACTACACGGCGTTATATTCCATAAAATATAACACTTCGTGGTATGGATATCGTTTAGAAAAATTTACTTCACATTGCTGGATATAAAACAGTTGTTTATGGTAACTTTACCTCTAATTTTTCTCCTATTCTCAGAAAGAAGAGCAATTACGTGCCCTTTATTGCTAAGGGGATGTCATGATAGCTGAGTGGTTCTCGGTCCGCTGGTTGAGAAACACCGGTCTAAGCGAGTGTTTTTACTTTAGTGTGTTTTGGCGTCCTGCCCAGTTAGCTTCGATGGCTTCGATGCTCTGAAGTTTCCCCAGCCTCCGAATTTTTAAATGATTTCACACCGTGCGAATTTATTTATTAGCTCAGAATGCACAGTGTCGAATGACGGTATGATTAACTACTGAACTGGCAAGGGTTTAGAAGGAAGTGATTATGCTTTAATTTGAGATAGGCCTTTGTGGTTTCAGTCAAGGAGAGAACGAGGAGTGTTCATAGCCCAAAATTAGGCCGAACTGTAGAGTGATATTCTGCAAACAAGTGAAGAAATGTACCGTGATATTGGTGGACACACTTACAAACATTCGCTGAGCTGTTCCATTACTATCTGCTTAATATTTCTCTACATTCAAACACATACAGCGATTTTTTTTAGATACACATTTCCATAAGAACGATCACGCAGCAGTACAGAACAAAATTACGTACTTACGGTCTGCATTATTTGTCTTGTACAATTATGGAGTTCATACACACTTAGACATGATATGATCATAAGTAAGCTAGTGAAGATGGACCGCGCTATAGCTCAAGCGGTTAGTCGCTGGCTTCCCGAGTCTGGTCAAGTGGGATTTGTGGCGGGCAAAGTAGCGCTGGGGCAGGTTTTCTCCGAGTATTTCGGTTTCCCCTGCCAATCTTTATTCCACTAATTGCCCCACAATCACCCTCACTTATCATATGGGGCTGGTACAATAGGCCAGAAGTGGGCGCAGTACAAGGGACTTAGTCTTACCACACTAGCAATAAAAAAAAAAGCTAGTGAAGAGACTGTCAACTAGTTTCGATTTCCGAACGGTTTTAATTCCATCTATACCGACCGAGCGACCGCCGCTTGTCGGCGAAGTTAATGCCAACTTTTGCAGACAGAGTGTTCAGTGGTCAGCGCAACGGATCCCCACGGCCGTTAATCTCGGTTTTCTAGACCGGAGCCGTTATTTCCTTGAAATAGCTCCTCAATTATCCTCACAAGGATGAGTGTACCCCAGGAGAGACCCTCTACTTCTCAGAAAATCTGGTAGCGTCGAGAATCGAGCCCAGGACCTCTGGATCTGTAGCCAAGAACTCTGACCACTAGACCACAGAGGCGATCGGTATAGTTCGCTTGCGGACTACAGGCCACGGAGTTCGTTTCTTTTCAGTACATCACGTACAGAACAGCTGTGGGACCCTCATGGAAAATCTTTCACCGAGAGTAAAGAGGATGGAGAGAGAAGATTTACACTCCACGTCCCCACTACATATTTATGGTATATGAAGTGCTTGGGCCAGTGTTTCTCAAAGCCTGTGCTGCGTAATTTAGTTTTATTTTTTATTATCATTTTTTATTGGTCTCTTTACTGCCATAACACACAAGCTCAACCCAATATAATAGTTTTTATACTCAGAAGCTTAATGAACACTCTGGTATTCAAAACTTTTCCGAGGGAGGATCCTCGGACCCCCTGGTCTTATGCGGAGTGTGTTGCATACCCCACAGACCCCCCCCCCCACCCAACACACGTTATGCTGCCATTTTCAAAACTGGAATAAACTCTTCTGCAGGTGGAACAAGGCTGGCAGACACTTGATTAAGCAGAGCAGGAAATTCATTTTTATATTAACATAAATTTCCTTTTTTTAAATAAAGCAGCTGCCTCGACTGGAAGATAGAGCACAATGTTCTATTCGGATTCATCAGCTTCCGAGAACTATCTCAGCAAAGGGACCGTATCGAAGAATCTCGCATGACTTTGAATGGAACTGTGAAATACCGAAATTAATTTTCTGTGCTCCGTAAAGTCTTGGATAAAGCAAAATACAACGTAAGGAGTAGTGGATATTCTATTGAAATTATGTAGTTGCGCACTTCACGAAATACTTAAAAATACTAAAAGTACTTTCATTCAAAGTTAGGTGAGATCTCGTTAAACGAGGTCACCTGTTCGAAGCCACTGAACGCGTTATGAATTCGCTATCCCACGTGCGCAAGTCGAGCGTAGTTGTGTTAACGCTTGTATCGACCACCAGTAGTTTATTTTTATAGCGAGAAGAAACATATATCTTGTGATCTTTCTTTTAATGCACACTTCTGAACAAAATCGTGTTCTTATATTTTCTTTTGCCGTTTGCTTACTATTACCGCAAACTCTTAGCGAAATACAATGCAAATATGACCCTCCATTCCTGAGCAGCCACATCAACTCGAAGTGAATTTATATGCGCAGTAAATGAATGTTAACTTATTATATAGGAGGCGACGAAAAGGGAAGTCTCAAATCTGAGACAGTGAAATGTGGTCGCCAGTCCCAAGGGACTCGGACTCGAGAAAGACCGCGCTGGCAAGAGCCAGCAGCATGTACAAAAGACAGACCCGTCCTCTCGTCAGAGAGAGCGCCTCACAAAAGCAAACCGTAAGTGTCAAACGGTAATAATTAACATCTGGTCATGAGCCCCAGATGGGGCTCGACACCAAGACTTAATGACTGACTGACTGACCTCAGTCGCAATGCGACTTTGACTTTTGCTTTGGTTCAATTTTGAATTTTGAGCTCTCGGTAGGAGACAGCCACGGGAAGTCAGTAGAAGACCTGTGAAAACTTAAATCGTGATTAGAACATTTTATTCATGTATAATATTTGGAGTTTGTGGTTCAGTGGGACTGTAATAGTTCCTAGGTTTAGTTGTGGTTCCAAGAGAGGACCAGTGTGTGTGTAATTTTTTTTTCACTTAATGGCTGGTGGAGTCCATCTGGGTACACTCGGCACGGCGGCCATTGATTTGTCTATTGTAGCCTGCCCCGGGTGATTATGATGATGGAGAATTTGGTGGAATTAAGATTGGCAGGGGAAACCGAAGTACTCGGAGAAACTCCTCCCCAGTGCCACTTTGTGCACCACAAATCCCACTTTACCAGACCCCGGGATCGAACCCGGGCCGCCGCGGTGGGAAGCCAACTACTAACCGCTTGAGCTATGGCGCGGCATCACAGTGTGTGTGTAAATCAGCGATATCTCTGTATTTAAATGTGATTAAGAAAGCTTGTAACCAAAGTGCTAATAAATCCAATCATCCTAACTAGAACCCGTTTTTTTTCGTCGCGTGTACTACCCTACACGTGAAAATATATTGCACATTTCTCTACGTTCGAAATCATGGTGTATATTTTTGTATATTTTTCCACGCTATGAAATCTTAGCGTTCGTTTCCGTGTGTTATTCTACATTATGATATCCTGTGTTCATTTCTGCCACACTGTTTCAAAATAAAACGAAGAAATAGCTACATGGAGTATAGTTCTTCATGGGAAACCAATAATTTCCTACGTAGAGAAGAAATTCTGTTCGATTTATAGAAGCTGAATTTCGTTACTGTGTTCACAAGAGCTAGATACTGGACCGAATCCTGAATCAGATCAATCCAGTCCACACCCTTCCAGTCTATTTCCTTAAGATGCGGCTTAAAAGTACCCTCCCATCTAAGTGTAAGTATCCCAGGTAGCTTTCTCTCTTCAAGCATTTCGATTTCTTTTTCTTTTTTCTTTTTTTTGTTGCATTTTTCATCCCTCCCGTGTGTGATACATGTCCCGTCTATCTCATCTTCCATCCTTCAGTCACTGTTAAAATATTTGGTAAACATTACAACGTATGAAGGTCCTCATGATGTAACTTTCCAAATCCTCACATTTTTCCACCTTACATTCAAATATCCTTCTTAACACCGCGTTTCCAAACACCTAAATATACGAGTATGTTCTTTCCTTAGATCGAGAGACTCACCTATGCAAGTAACAGGTAAAGTCACAGACTGTTGAACGAATGAGGAAGGTATTGAAATATGTGAGGAACTTACTGTCGCCAACAATTAAAATGATTATAAAGTAAGAGATAGACTGTCTCTATGGTATAGTAGTCAGAGTTCCTGTCTACTGTAACGGCAGCAACCACCGCCAGGTCCCTCAACCAGACCCCCTTCTTTCCTTTTCCCCCTCTCCACATGCCCTACGCTTGCGCCCTTCATCCTTTCACCAGGGACTGAGAGGCTCGTCTGAACACTGGAGGGCCATTCTGCTGCACGCCGTGGAAGAGTCTGGTCTCGACCCCAAATTATTTTTTGGAATTTTGGTTTACTAAATTAACGGCGGAGTTGGTGGACGCTTGTACGTTGTGCCGTCCTTATCTGGGGCAGTTTGTATTTTTCTAATCAATTATATAATTATATTATTATATTCATTTGGTGTCTGTACTGTTAATATAGTTTCCTATCCCAAACCACATTTCGGTCCTTGGGCTTTGGTACGTTTCACTACAGAGACAGAGGTCCGGGTTTGATTCCCGTCCCTACCAGATTTTTTCTGAGAAGTAGTG